GATGCAGCTACTTTTCGCGATCATAGTGCAGTCATAACATGCATTATTATTCAACAGTTAATCCAATCTGGGTACCGGAAGTGCAAAACTAAAACCATTGGTCACTTAATGTGTGGTGTAGAATAAAACACTTTAAAGTTATTGGATCATATTTTTTTCGTAAAAAACTTAACTGGCGTAGATATTTGACCTTTTTGCAGAATGATTTACCTTAACTTTTTCAAGAAGTGGATAACATTGAGATTATTACCAAGAGAATTTTTAAATAATCATTACCAATAAAATGTACGAAAAAAATAACGTGTGCCCAAGCAGAAGGCCATGTATCTGAACATTTATAATAATAATAAAGTTAATAATAATAATAACATTAATAATAATAATAATGATAAAGTGGTGTTATTTAATTTGTATAAAAATAAGAAAGTTTGACAATTTCGACTGTATGAATTGTATGAAATGTTGTGATAGCATATTCGTAGGAACAAATAGATCCATAAATTTTTAAATCATCTGCAAATAGTAGAAAGTCGCATTTAATTTTATCAGGCAGGTCGTTGATAAAGATCGAAGACGATAATGGTTCAAGATTAGAACCCTGAGGTACACCGGATGTTGTGACTGGAATCCATTATAGCTTACTGAGAGCAGTCTATTGTGTAGATAAGACTTAAAGAAATTCAAAAGTGGCTCGCTAAAACCCCGCCCGGATTTTTTTTAATCAACATGGAGTCAAAAGCCTTAGCAACATCCAAATGCACTACATCAAACTGAATTCTAATAACTAATGACTAATAACTATTGCTTTATCTACGACTCCAACCAAGTTCTTTTTCCTGTTCATTTTTTAATCTTAACAGAGCCCTGTTGGCTAGTACGTCATCTAATATCAAATATAAGTGACAATGGCGCTATCGTAAGTTTCTTGCAAGTGTGAAAAATAGTATTTTTTTACAATAATTATAATATTGGAAAAACTGTTAGGTGTTAATAAAAATTTTTTAAGAATTTCAAACAGAATTTAAACCAACATTTAAAAATAGGGGTGTTCCTAAGAATCTTTACAATTTTTGTATTTACCATTTTATCATAACTTTTGAGACCAATGAAATAATAATAATGAACATCTTTTAGCACGAAAACGTGTTCTACGTCCACATGGATTATCAAGATTGCTGCGGGTTATCAAGGTTATACTGTATTAGCGGACTATAACGCGGTGGATAGGATACGATAAAACCAAGATACGGCCCTGGGGCGGCTGGTACGATGCCAAAAGGATGTCTATTATTAGGAAAAGCGGAGAATATGTTTTTTTCCGCCATTTTGTCGGGCTCACCTTTGGCGGCGCGTGGTAGTTACCTATTTTTGTGTTTTTGGAGCGCGAGTTTTTCCGAAACGCGGTCTTTAATTTATCGACAAGTGGCGCGAGGACGGAAATAGAAACCTTAAGTTTGAATCGTGTTCGACGCCGCCGCCACCGATTCGGTTTACCGTCGCGGCGCATCAATTAAAATGCGCACGTAAAGTGCTCGCCTCCCCCGAAACCGTTTTATCGCCCAACTTAATTGTACGACTCGTGTTTGCGTAATGCACTACACGACGAACACTAATAGGAACACGTTTACATTGAAAATAATACGCCCGGTTAAAAGAGTAATTGCTACAGCTGTTCATCTCTAGCGGTCAATTTATAACGTTCGAGCCGAACTGTATAATCTAATCTAATTAAATAAAAGAATGGTCTTCAACCGACAAAAACTCGATCCAGCATGTTTAACTAGTATTACATAAGTAATTTTGATTAATTTGGGAAACTAAAACTCGTTGTTTAATGAGTAATATGAGTAATTTTGCTTTTCATGCAATGCAATCTCATTGCACACGTTTAACAAATCGATGTCAATGATATTAAGGAGTCTTTTTAGTTTGAAAAAAAAAACAATTAAATCAATTGCAGGAAATTAAAAACGCTTGCCGTACATTGAAAGACTATTATATTAGTAATTTGGACTTTTTCCTTAACCAAGAACTTAAAACTTCGTTGCGGTATGTTTAACGAGTTATATTAGTAATTTCGCTTTTTTAATTAAAAGAAAAAAAAGAAATGCAAACTCACTGCAACGCGTTTAACAAATAGGTGTTAATTAGGAACATTTTCGTTATTTCATAAAGGAATATGGGTATTCTTTTTAGCTAAAAGAAACAATTACAGAAAATTAAAAACTCGACGCAGCGGATTTAACGAGTACAATATGAGTAGTTTTGCATTTTTCGCTATCCGGAAATTAAAAAATTCTTGCGGCACATTTAACGAGTATTATATGAGTAAATTGGTAATTTTTCAAAAAAGCCTCCGCAGGCTACTGCAATATTTTTATAAAATTTCTGCATTTCTCCTGTGTCGGTTTTTGTTGAATCCAGAAGTTTTATAAAAAGAGTAACTTGGTCTTCTTCGTTAACCGAAAACTTGAAAATTCATTGCGGTATGTTCAACGAGTACGATATAAAGAAGAAATGCAACTCACTGCAACGCGTTTAACAAATGTGTTTTAATTAGGAATATTTTCGTTATTTTATTAAGAAGTAAGGGTAGTCCTTTTGGGTAAAAAACAAACAATTAAATCAATGCCAGAAAATTAAAAACTCGGCGCAAAATGTTTAACGAGTATAATGTGAGAAATTTTTTATTTTAAATAATTCGGAGAATCTAAAAATTCGTTGCGGTATATTTAAAGGTTATATGAGTAATTTTGTCTTTATAGTGAATCCGGAAAAACAATTAAATTGATGCTGGAAAACTAAAATCTCAGCGCGGCGCGTTTAACGAGTATAATATGAGTAACTTATTCGTGAGAATTTTTGACATAAAAAGTGAAAATTTATGGAATCAGAAACTTCTAGAACGTTAAACGAATAGGTGTTAATTATATGAGCGTTTTACCTTTTCACTTCTTAGACATCTAATTTAATTAAGTATTACATGAGTAATTTTTTCTTTTTCGTTAATGCAGGAAATTGCAAACTGGTTGCGGTGCGTTTAAGGAGTATGATATGAGTAATTTTATTTTTGTCAAAAAAAAAGTTAAAAATGTATTCAATTTCAATTAATTCAGGAAACTTATTCGTGAGTAATTTTGACATAAAAACTGAAAATTCATGGAATCAGGAACTTCTAGAACATTAAACGAATAGGTGTTAATTATATGAGCGTTTTACCTTTTCACTTCTTAGACATCTAATTTAATTAAGTATTACATGAGCAATTTTTTCTTTTTCGTTAATGCAGGAAATTAGAAACTGGTTGCGGTGCGTTTAAGGAGTATGATATGAGTAATTTTATCTTTGTCAAAAAAAAGTTAAAAATATATTCAATTTCAATTAATTCAGGAAATTAAAAACTCGTCGTGGTACCTTTAACGAGTAAGGTATTTTGTCCTTGTCATAAATAAGGGTCAACTTTGTAGTATGGTATTTTTTCCCTTCCCTTCTTAAACATCTAATTTAATTGCTTTAAGCTTTTTAAAATCATATATTACATGCTATATATATTTCCCGTATATTTCAGTTAATAATTGACTAGAGATTTCCAAGTTATACAGAGCTAGACTAAGACCGACAGTAAAAATTAGAAAAAATATTGCCCACTGCGCGGAGTTAAGCCTTATATCTATTTAATATTGCGACAAGGTTAAATAAGTCTAACCTTCTTTTTCACGAAACACTTTGGTATATGCACACTCGGGACAAACAAGTGACTTTGACGAATCAAAAGGCAATTTAACAAAACCCGCAGGCTGGACCGTATATTCGTTAATTGTCCCAATTAAGTGATTAAATAAGTGCCATCTGTAATATAAACATTTTTCTACGTTTGTCATTTATATTTTTATATCGTATTTTTTTATTTTTGAGTAAACAACAGTTCACACTTTCATTTTAATTTATCTCATTTTAAAACTTAAAAAAATATATAATGACTTTTTGAGCTAAAAGGTCAAATGAAAAAAATGTGATTTAAGTTTTATGCCGATTACAAAAATTTGCTCTCTGTATGCTCTTGGTTTTAATTTGTTTAAGTTACTAGAACCGTGAAAACAATGACCGGGAATTCTTAAAATAAATTGGATATTAAAAATTACATTTTTTTGATAACAGAGGCCATTTGTTGCGTATTTTAGAAATCCCAAATCACAAAAGAGATCTTTTTGATATTCTAAAGGTTCGCTTACAAACTAGTTTAGAGTTAAAAATTTAATGTGATTTAAATTTAACAGAAGTTTTAAGAGAATTAAACCTACATACATACAGATAAAACTGGAGATTTATAAACGTCGTTTAAGCATTTAACGTAATATCTGTAAGTTAAATAACTCTCAACTTCAGGCTTTAACAGTGTAACACCTTATCACCTGATGCCAATGTATATTGAATTTTCAATTTTCTTGTGAGTTTTACTTTGCAATAGTATATGAGTATAATAGAGGATAATAAATAAATAATAAATAATAAATGAGTTGGAGCCAAAAAGTTAAAATCTTAATTCTTACGTTATGTATATATCACACACCATATAAAACAACAATAAAAATGTTGCAAGTTCCAATTTCATTCAATTTTTTAGTTGAAAAAATTAAAAATTTGTAAATCACATTTTGGTATTATATTTTTTGCAGACTGCCTTTAAGTTATTGCAATTTAAAACCGAACGTTATTTCATGTTGCACATACTCGAATCGGACTTCTTCTTTTCTATTATCTGTTTTAGTTTGCTTTTTGCATTATATTTATCAAATTGAACTCGAAAGACTAAAAAGAACAGAATAATTTTAGTTAATTAATAAAGTTCCTAAAAGTGTTTGAAATAACAAAAATATAAAAACACTTAACAATTTCATCAGGTAAGAAATATAACTTTATTTGAAAACAATCTATTTTCTGCAAATGTGACAAACAAAGAAATTGGATAAAAAAATGACCTTTTAAAATGTTTTGCTTACCTTTTCATGGTGGATATGTCGAGTTCTCTGTCATATTTCCCGGTAATTTCCAAACTCTCGACTTTAGATATATTGTTATCCGATTCCGAGCGAACGCACACGACTGAAAAAGTCTGCGATGTTTTCGTACAGACCTGCAACAATATTTCGATGGATTTCACACAAACACACACATAAGAGATTAGAAACACTAAGTTTAATGAAGAGTTTAAGGTTGAAGACCAACCTTGATATTAATGTCGAATTACGCTTGATTACATTTTAAGTGGGCCTGCTAATTCACCTTAAACCGCATAATAATGACCAAAAATCATAAGAAATTGATTCCATTCAATTCATTATGGACGTGCTGGTTTAAAAAACAAAACACACGTGTAACCTAAGTTACACACAGATTTAGATGTACCAAAGCTCATTTTATCCACTACCACTAATATTTTACTGACTTTTATTGAATGGCATTCTATAATGTTGGGAAATAAATTAACACACATTGACATAACTAAAATAAATGCAGGCGGTTATGATATCTTTACGCGTCTTTAGGATAGGTAATTTAATATTTCGATATTTTATCTATTTAAATCAAAATCATTTTATAAACGATACGCAGAGTTAAAATTAACATTAATAATTCAAAAAATTAAAACCCTAAGTCCAAATCCAAATATATGTGCATATTCTGTACCAGTTTTTTAAAAATTGCAATTGCCTTTTTTTCATTTTAATTTTCAGTTTAACACATTTTCGTTTAAAATAATGAGATCTAAAATGCGATTAATTTATAACTGTACAATACCAATAAAACGAAGGGAAAGGATACAATTTTATATGCATTAAATTTATGTTAATTGTATTTTGCGTAAATGGAAAAACTAACAAAATAAATAAAGGTACATACACCACAATACACCAATTAAAAAAAAACAAATATTAAATAAATTGGTTAAGGCTTTCGCGGCCCGTTGATAAGCTATTATCTTGATTCGGGTTTAAAGGCCGTCGTCGGTTGGAATTACTTCCTAACGTTTCGCTAGCACGAGTAGCGATCTTCTTCAGAGGTCCTTCCGTCTCCGATGTTGGACGTAGACTGACGATTTCTCCTGCGCAGGAGATTTAATTTATCAGACGCCCCTACCGGGAGGAAACATGTAAGCAGTATCAACGACTGGACAAAATAAGGAAGCAAAAAGCGCACTTACTCGCCACTTTAGCCTTTCTGTGCCGCTGCCGGGACACCAACATCATACCAGCATTCCTTAGACAAAAACGAATTCTCCAATCAGCGAAGGCAAACAGGATCTACGTCAGGACTGAGAAAGCTTTTCTCCGGGAACGAATTCACCACACTCTTCGTAGCCTTGCGAAGACGCATGAGGAACTTCTTGGCCTGCACTTGACACTGACAACAACAGAATTGGGACAGAATGGATGCAATCTCACATTCCAAAATGAGGAACGAACTGGACCGTACAAAGGAGCAACAGATAAGGAAGTACAAGAAGTTTGCGAAAAAACAAGCGCCCAAAACAGCAAGCCTAGACAGTGAGCGACTCGTGGTCAATATGACGGACAGAGTACTCACGGAGGTCGAGAGAACAGTGCTAACCAAAGGAGGGAACTTCGCAATCACTCCGCGTCACATTCCGATTGAAGAGATCATCTCCAGCACGGAAGCAGCCATCAAGAACCTACCGGACCAAGATGCCGAAGAGATACGAATCGAGACAGCCAACATCCTCAGGAAGGCAAAACCACCCAAGACTAACCTGACGAGAAGTGAAGGACTGGCACTGCGTAGCCTGAACACGGATGAGGGTATCATCATACTCCCAGCGGACAAAGGAAACGCAACCGTTCTTCTGAAGACCGAGGCCTACGAAAGGAAGATTGAGGAACTCTTGGACCCGGGAAGCTACAAACCCCTGAAAAAGGATCCGACGCAAGCTAGACTACGTCTTACCAACCGGCTCATCAAGTCATCATCACTGTCAGAAGAAATCAAGAAGCGCATTGTGAGAACGGAGACTGTTCCACCAAGGCTCTATGGACTACCTAAGATACACAAAGTAGATGTCCCGTTAAGACCAATAATTAGCGCACCCGGATCACCAACGTATTACTTGGCTAAACACTTGGCATCGCTGCTCCAACCACACGTAGGACACGGCACCAGTTAACTCAGGGACTCCACCGACTTCGTGCGCAAGATTCAAGATATCAATATTGAACAAAACGACATCCTTGTGAGCTTCGACGTCGTCTCACTGTTTACCAAAGTACCTCTGAAGAGTTGCTTGGACCTGGTGAACAGGATATTTCCTGTCGATATTTGCAAACTTTTTGAAGTCTGTCTGACCGGTAGCTATTTCGTGTGGAAGGCAAACTTCTACGAACAGGTGGACGGAGTGGCAATGGGAAGCCCATTAGCCCGGTTATAGCCAACTTATTTATGGAACACTTTGAGGAAAAACGATCGAGACCTCAGAGTACAAGCCAG